AACCCAGAAAGTACACACTATGTTTGCTAATCACAAGCTCTGCACTTACTTGAACTCTAGGATAGTCTAAGGGAAACAGATATATCAATAAATGAGAGAAAATATAGAGCACATTGCCACTGTGCTACACTAAGTTTCAGTGAATAATGATAGAACTGAACTTTCACAATTGTGGTTTTTTACTAGCTGTCTACAGAATGTCCCCTTTTCACTTTTTTTTATTTACCAGTCTGAAACTTAATATACCACAACACATCCAGGTTAAAATTTATGGCTTGAATTTAAGGTTGCCTTTCTGATAAAAACTGTATTTAAGACATAAAAAAATGTTTATCTTAACTTTTCTGACATGTGTATTGTGCCACTTAACTTTGGCATCCCCTTTCTACCCCCAGCCTCCATTTAGCTGGAAAACAAAAGCATCATTGCTTCATCAGAGCAATCATCTATTTTGAGATCAAAGCTGAATAGCTGAAGAAAATCACAGTAATGCCACCCTTTACATCCTTACACAGATAATCCTTACCCTTATTTCTATTCCCTACTGTTTTTGTTAAAGAAAAACAAAAGATAAACCCAGTTACAGTTACTGAACCCAACATTGTCTTAACTTCTAATTGCTAAAGATATTTACAATCTTAAAGTATATTAGAACTATTAGAACTAGAGCCACAGAAAAGTACTAATAATGCGGTGCAGTAACTCATGCTGAGTAATGATATTGGTAAAGTTGTTATATTCATTTCAGCATTAATTACTACATAGAGTTCTACCCATGTGAGAAAAACTCATACAGAAATAAACTAAAGCTAGGGATTGAGTTTGGGGGAAAATAAAATACCTAACTAGGAATAAAATAAAGCTCAATACCAGTAAAACAACATGAGTAAAAAGTAGGAAACTGAGCTCTCCTGAGCTACTTACTCTTGGAAAAGACAGGTTTTCCTGACCATGAAAGTCTGGAATTGTGCCAATGACTTGTGCATGTTTCCTTATCACTGTGGGTTGATCACTATAACAAATGTTATAGAGAGATTCAAGAAAATTGGTCATTTAAAGACCTCTGTATCCAATAAGAAAGGGAACAATTTGCATCATTAAGAAGAAAATTTCAGTAATTGTATAAGAAACATTAGACTTCATGGTGATCATGAAGAAATGATAGTGGCACACAAGTTGCTTTTTTAACTGAAGTAATTCAAAATAGAGGATAAGATGAGGTAAATAGAAGGGTTGTTTTTGCCCAGAACTAAAATGAGTCTGAAAATGCATTCTGTTTCTAGTCTTGTAATAAAGCCTATCATCATTTCACAAATGCTGGCAGAATAGACAAACTTCTGGATCAAGCAAGTCAAAAAATTTCACTACTCAGATCTAAAGTTCAATCAGCAGGGTATCTGGTTTTGTACCAGTGCCCCATCTCTGATTCTCATAAAGCAATGTGAAAAAGCCTAATGTAAGATGCTTGCATATTCAGTACATTTAATTACAGTAAAAGTTATAACTTAGGGAACCCATTATATATGTATGTTTTATATAAAACAGACATTATAATTATCATGCTGTAACAAACTTAGCATTTTCCAGAGGAAGAGGTTATCACTCTCTTCCAAAGCTATTTGCTATATAAACATCCATGAGATAGTCCAGAACAAAGTTAATCAGTACCTTGCCTTGCAATACACGCAGAAATTTAGATGATCCATGGAGAACTATCTCTTAATAATTAAATTGTAAAATAAAACTTTAATAAGAGAGAAACTTTAGAGTGTCTATTAGCCAAAAGATAAAATTCTACTGAAAACATTTATTGATGGTGGAGAAAAATAACACAGTCCATGAAGCAGTAACACTGGATTACTATTAAGCAATACTATAATATAATGATATTGCAAGAAACAAGCAAATTTGAAGCAATTTTACTTGAAAGGAAGACTCTGCATTCATGTCAATATATGCAGAAAATTAGAAACTGAAGCAATATACTGTGAGTGAGTTCATATTGAGAAAGACAATGTTTCATTAAGCATTTATCATACTCCATATTATTAAATGGGATATGAAACAAAAAATTAGTCAGTGGATATTACATGAACTCAGCAAGAAGAAACTGTTTCTATTATTGTTGAATTTAAGCACAAGAATATGGGTTACTTTCTTGAATTGTCTCATTGAGATTAGTGAATAAACAGTGATTCCATTAATATTTTTATCACTTATGCTGAGATTTAGCTACTGAATTACAGAAAGAGAAAAATGAAACGTCAACATGCAAAAGCCTCAGTTTAACCCCAGGTAGACCATAGAACCAGATTTTGCTACTAACAACTCTATATGCTGACACTCATCTGTCTTTAGCTTTATTTAAAAGCAATTTAATTCAATCTCCTAGTAAATTTGGCTGAATTCAAGACTCCTCTACTCTGGACACCAGCCCAGCAATTGGACAGTTGTATGGACATCTACACTGAGGTATCTCTACCCAACATGTTGCCTACTTTATTATTTTTTTAATTTACAAATTAGAGAAAGGGGTACTTATTTTTTAAACACTTTGTATATAAATGGAAGGGCAGATTTACCAAGCTGTTAAATTGACACTATATCCTCTCTAGTATTCATGGAGGCTCTGCAAGGCCTCTAAACTAACCCAAATGAAACTGGCGTACTTGGATGCTAGACCCTCTCTGCCCTTTTTTTCCACTCACAGCCACAAAACTACCTCTTCTAACAGGCAAGTTTTTCTGAACCAGTTTCCATGTTCATACCTTCCTTTACTGTCCATTGACACTACCAATGAAATCCTCCATACTAACTTCTTTAGAGTTATTCATTCAATTCCTAAGTTTTTCCTATGTATTTCATAAATTTAGATGTATTTTGTGAAATCTTTATTCACGAAACGTTAGGGTAAGTGATCAAGTGTGTTTTGAATATTTACTACCTCATACTATGGAACAGTTTGAAAAGCTTTTTAACTTATTCAAAAAGTCTTGCAAAGGCTTTATTTCTCTGACTGCAGTTTCTAAAGAATAATGCGTTGTCTTTGCAGAATAGTTTTCCTAATCTTTGCCTCATCATTTTGTTTTGCGGAGCTGAGTATCCATATCGTCTGCATTGAAGGCTCCACACTTTCTTATTCACTGTTTCTCAGTCTATCAAAGCTTTTCTCAGTATAATTTAAATTATTGATGATGAGAACAGTTACCAAGTTTCCCTAGAAATATGTGCTGAAATTGGTGGAGGAAAACATACTTTTGAAGCAAATGAAAACTCTGAGGAAAAAATGCAATCATAGTTATTTTGTGGTACTAATTTCTTTTTAAACTGTATACGTGGGAGCCATAATACAATTTTACTTCGAAAATGTTATGCCATCTCTTTGAAGATTTACTAAACACATGCCTTGATCTAGGAAACATAGTGTAAAAATTTAGCAAACTATGCAATGCAAGTCAGTAAGGAAAAATCTACAATTGAACCAAAGAGCAGAGTCCTGCAGATTTTCTTCTATGGTACCCACTAAGGCTTCAACACCAATTTTTTATAAAAGTGAAAAGTAGAAGTATATAGTTAGAGGAGACACTAGATGCTTGCAATTGTTACTTACATACCTATCAAAATGGTTTAATTTTATATCTGTAAAATCAGGCTAATGCATTCGGGGTAAGTATTAACCCCTTTAATTCTTGCTTCTTATATACTATCAGTAAGAAATTTGAAGTAATGCCTTTATATTGCTCAGACTTCTATAATGTAATAATTTACCTGAATTTCATGTTAATAATTTGATATGAAGATTACACCCCATTCCTCTAAATCATAGTAGACGGGTCTGGAAGTTATAGTATCCATAATCACCACTGCCAGGAGAATTTGCAATTCAAAAGTTCAGAAATAGCAACTTATTTTACAAAATTCTTTTCTATACCCTCATACTTACTATACACCGGGAAGTGCAGATATTATCAGGTTTTTATTCAAACAAGAAAATGAATAACATTGACATCTTATAACTTACTCAAAATGAGCAACCAGTATTTGTGTTCTCAATTGCAACAGCCCTGAGATAATTATGTTGCATAAGATAACTTTACAAGAAATTTTTAAATGATGGTATTTCCCTTCTCATTTTACTTTTATATGCTTATTTGTCTTACTTCAGTGTCGTTGTTTTTCTTTTTGAAAGATAATCTATTCAAATCCACTTAAAATTATTTGTATTGGTTTTCTTCGTAAAAGCAAACACAAAATATTATTAGTATCATTAGTCAAATATTAGAATTAATTTCTATCACTGAAGGTTTTGTAAGTAAAAATAAATATAAAAAAACATTCAGTTTTCCTAAAATGTACATTTAAAATGTTACATGTAAAAGGAAAATGAAAGTAGCATTGAAAATTAAGGCCTATCTTCATGCCAGTTATTTGTGACATGGAATATTATTGTTTTATTTTCCTGATCTGCCTTTTGAAAATAACTATGGAGAATATTTAACAGACTTGGTATAATTTTATTGGATAAGATCCTTCAACTAATAATTTTTAAATAATGGAATTTGTCCTCAGATTTTATTTTTATTTGCTTATTTGTCTTGTTTCAGATGAATTTCATCTACCTGAGATTAAAATATAGTTTCCTTACAAAAATGTCCATTATGTTTCAAATAAAGACAATGTACCATATTAACTGAGAAAAAATAAATGATTAAAATTTGACAGAGCAGTGCATAATATGATGACTCTGGAAAGTCATGCCCTGAGAAATCTGAAGGTATGATGCAAATGTCATTTTGCAACCTATCTGCTAGAGAGAATTTAATACAAGTTTCTTTACCAATAAATAATTTTCAGGTCTTTTAATAATCAGGTAGCATACATAAATTGCAGTAGACCACTGTGAAATTTAAAATGGAAAACATTGACTTTATTTTGACTAGACCTACTGTGAAGAGCTAGACATACCAATGAGATTGTCCAGATCAAATTTTGAAATGTAGGTGTTCGCTTCGGAGCACATATACTAACATTGGAACGATACAGAGAAGATTAGCATGGCCCCTGCACAAGGATGACACGCAAATTCGTAAAGCGTTCCATATTTTTACAAATGGATTTGATAGACATATACAGAATGATCCACCCAACAACATCAGAATACACATTCTTCTCAGCAGTACAGGAATCGTTCTATAAAATAGACCATATATTAGCTCACAGAACATATTTAAACAAATGCAAAAGAGTTGAAATCATCCCTTGCATGTTATCGGATCATAGCGCTCTGAAATTAGAAATTAATGTTAACAGATACTGCAAAAATCCCGCAAACACATGGAAACTGAATAACACACTCTTGAGTAATAAGTGGGTCACAGAAGAAATTAAACAATACCTAAAGGAAAATGAAAATGCAGATAGAACTTACTGGAATTTGTGGGATGCAATGAAAGCCGTCCTCAGGAAAATTTATTGCACTGAGTTCCCACATCAGAAAAACAGAACGAATACCAATAAATAACTTGATGCTACACCTCAAACAGCTAGAAAAAGAAGAGCAAGTCAAGCCAAAGCCAAAAGAAGAGAGGAAATCATAAAAATCAGAGCAAAATCAATGCAATAGAGACTAAGAAAACAATCCAAAGAATCAACGAATTAAAGAGTTGGTTCTTTTAAAGAATAAATAAAATTGATAAGCCCTTAGCCAACCTTATTTTAAAAAGGGAAGAAAAAGCTCAAATTAATGCAATAAGAAATGAAAAAGGTGAAATCACTACAGACTCAATAGAAATACAGAAGATCATCAACACCTATTTTGAAAACCTCTACTCTCAAAAGTTTGATAACACAGAAGAAATAGACAGATTCTTAGAAACATATGAAGTACCAAAGCTAGATCAAGAGGATGTAAAACTGTTGAATAACCCAATCTCTGTTAATGAAATTGAAAGTGTAATTAAGTCCTTACCTACAAAGAAGAGCCCAGGCCCAGATGGATTCACTGCAGAATTCTACAAGAAATACAAAGAAGACCTAAGGCCGACACTCCTCAAACTATTCAAGGAAATTGAAAGGGAAGCAATCCTTCCTAAGTCATTCCTGGAAGCAAATATTACTCTAGTACCAAAACCTGAAAAATACCCAACTAAAAAAGAGAACTATAGACCGATTTCCCTAATGAACACAGATGCAAAAATCCTCAATAAAATATTGCCAAATAGGATGCAGTAAATCATCAAGAAGATTATACACCATGACCAAGTGGGATTCATCCCATTCAACATACCTAAATCAATAAATGTAATCCACCATATCAAGAAAGCCAAAAGTAAGAATCACATGATCATTTCTATAGAATCGGCACAAGCCTTCGATAAGGTCCAACATTTATTCATGATAAGAACTTTACAGAAAATTGGAATAGATGGTGTTTACCTCAATATAATAAAGACCATTTAAGACAAACCAACAGCCAGCATCATACTAAATGGCCAAAAATTGAAAGCCTTTACTTTAAAATCAGGCACAAGACAAGGATGTCCTTTATCACCACTCCTATTTAATATAGTACTGGAAGTACTAGCCAGAGCAATTAGGCAAGAGAGAGAAATAAAAGGGGTAAAGATAGGAAAAGAAGAAGTTAAATTATCATTGTTTGCAGATGACATGATAATCTACATAGAAGACCCCCTAAACCCCATTGAAAGACTCTTAGATACAATAAATAAATTCAGTAATGTGGCTGGATACAAAATCAATACTCAGAAATCAATAGCATTCCTATACACTAACAACATAATCACAGAGAGGGAAATAAGAGAAACTACACTCTTCACATTAGCAAGCAACAAAACGAAATATTTAGGAATTACTCTTATGAAAGAAGTGAAACACTTATACAGTGAAAATTATAATACACTGAAAAAAGAAATTGAAGATGATCTCAGAAAAATGGAAAGACATCCCTTGCTCATGGATAGGAAGAACAAACATTGTGAAAATGGCCATTCTCCCAAAACTGTTATACACATTCAGTACAATCCCAATAAACATACCATCAACTTACCTTATAGATCTAGAGAAATCACTCCTAATTTTCATCTGGAACCAGAAGAGACCTAGAATAGCAAAGGCAATTCTAAGCAGCAAAGACAAAGCAGGAGGCATCACAATCCCTGACTTGAAGTTATACTACAAAGCAACAGTAGTAAAATCAACATGGTACTGGAATCAAAACAGAGCCGAAGATCAATGGAATAGATTAGAAGATACAACCACAACTACAAACACACTCAACCATCTTATCTTTGATCAAGGAGCCAAGCAGGTTCACTGGAAGAACGACAGTCTCTTTAATAAATGGTGCTGGAAAAACTGGCTCTCCATTTGCGAAAACAAAGCTAGACCCATGTCTATCACCAAGTACTAAATTAAAATCTAAATGGGTCAAAGATCTGAATATTAAAACAGAAACACTAAATCTATGGGAAGACAAATTTGGTACAAACCTTGAAGACATAGGAGTAGGTAGAGAATTCATGAACAGGACTCAAACCACATGGGAAATACTTGCCAGAATCAATAACTGGGACCACTTTTTATTGAAAAGTTTCTGCATGTCAAAAGAAATCTCCAGCATAGTGAAAAGAAAACACACAAACTGGGAAAGGATTTTAGTGAAGTCTCTCTCAGACAAGGGACTCTTGTCTAAAACATATAAAGAATTAAAAAATACTCAGACCCCCAAAATTCAAAGATCCAATCCAAAATGGGCATCTGAGATGAATACGCACTTCTCAGATAAAGAAATACAAATGGCAAATAAATACATGAAAAAATGTTCATCATCATTGGTCATTAGAGAAATGCAAATTAGAACCACCATCTCCCTCCTGAAAGAATGGCCAGGATCAAGAAAACCAACAACAACAAATGCTGGAGAGGCTGTGGGGGAAAAGGAACACTCCTACACTGTTGGTAGGAGTGTAGAGTGGTGCATCCTTTGTGGAGGTCAGTCTGGAGATTTCTCAAAAACTGTGATTGGAAGTCCCATTTATTCCAGCTATTCCACTTCTAGGCATATTCCCAGAAGAACGGAAAGCATCATATCACAGTGATATATGTGCACCTATGTTTATAGCAGCACAATTTGTAATCACCAGATCTTGGAAACAACCCAAGTGTCCATCAAATGAAGAATGGATAAAAAAGTCGTGATATTTCTATACAATGGAGCATTATTCAGCTATAAAGAAGGATCACATTGAGATATTTATGAATAAATGGGCGCAGCTTGAGACCATACTCATAAGTGAAATAAATCACTCTCACATGTGTGAATACCGAATAGTTTCCCTATGTAAGTAATGATTCAAATATATAAAAATATGTGGTAATCATGATTCCCCATTATGTGGCCTTGAAGCCTTATAAAGTCTTCACTTATTAACTGGAAAGGCTTTAATCTGGGCTTCTTGATATGGAAATATTTGAAACTATAGTATATGAAGTTTTATTCAAATATTTCAAGGAAAAAGACAGACACTATGGTAACTACTATTAAGTCGGGTTATTTGGTGGTGAACCACTAGGTTGCTGAAACAGTCATGCTTTGACCTGTATTGTTATATTTTTATGTCCTGTTTTATCTCAATCTCTCCCTTATTCATTAAAAAATTATTTAGTTATTTCTTATGTTTTTTTTAATTAAGGGGAAAAATTTTAAAAAATAGCAGTATATATAATAGTAACTTTTTTGATTTCCTATTAACTTGTTTTGAAGTCCTGTAATACTCCCACTATCTTGTTTTGACTGATTAGTCTCTGTTCCATTCTGTATGATAGTACCAAGTTTGAGGGTATAGGCAACTACTTTGAAGGCAATAAGCTTCACTAAGATGCCCATTCTGGTTTGACTATTGTCTCCCATGGAAGTCCTGTAATGTTTACAATGCTTAAGTTTTATTGGTCTTGTTCTCTACTGTTTTATTCAACTTTATAATATCTAATGAGATTCTCTCCAAAAAAAAAAAAGTAATAAGAACTAAGGACTAATAAAACCCAAAATGTGTAAATTTTGTTGTAAAAAATAGAGGGGAAAAAAAGAGCTCTAAAGGATACAACAGCAAGTGTTTTTAGGGGTGTTAAATAGCTGACCATATTAATGTTTTTGGTTGGATTATTGAACACAACTGTTTGCAGTTTCACTGTTTGAAAGTCCACTTTATATGCTTTGATACTGTGATTTGAGCAACTATCTCTAAGATGATAATATGTAATCTATTAACTGGTGATTTTTTACTGTTTTTTTTTTGTAGTTCTGTATTACTTGTACCCTTACACCGCTTTGTTTTGTTTTGTTTTGTTTTTTCTCTTTTCCCTTTTAAATACAATTTAAAAACAAATTTTGAAACTTAGGAGTACATACATCATTTGCTAGATGATGTTGGCTTAATAATGACACTTAGAATTGGAAAAAATAATATGAATTTGTTCCTGAGGACTCCATCCTTACACACAAAAGATACTTCAATGGCTGAATAGATGGGTCAATTTGTTGAATATTTCAGAAATTGTTGTGAAATTTATGTATATGATGTCATGTTAATACAAACAAAAATTTTACTTACTTTTTGCAACTATTTTTATGTAAATATTTAGTTTAGTTTTTCTTTGTTATTTGAAATGCATGTAAAAATTAATGAGATGCTTACATGAAAAGAATATTCTTACAACTTTCTGATAAGAGTTAACTAATAGTTACTGCAGCTTTTTCTTGAATTAAGTTTATTGGTACCATTGAAGTAAATACAATGATCACATTCATCATAGTGAATTTGTACCTGTATATTATACCTGATAAGTCTCCTTCTCCTTTTTGTCCTTGTTTTCCTGCCATTCTCCTCCCTTTCTTTCAATCCTTCAACTCCTCTTCCCCTCTTTATTTAGAAAATCTTTTCTTTTATTGAAAGAACACTACATATATCTTATGCACAGTGAGATCACTTTTTGATGGTGATTTTTAAAATATGCCTTTAATTTATTTTTAAATTATAGAATAGCTGTTTAACAATGTATCATTTCCAAAGCAATACAAAAGCTGGAGA